ACAACAATATTTGGACCACCTGAAAAAGGAGGGCCAGGACATCTTATAGCAACTCAAGAGAAGCGAGGCCAAAATGGTTCAAAAGAGGAAACAACTAAAAAACATGCATGAGGAACTGATGGACATGTGCCATAAATCAGAAGAGAAGCTGCTCTGTCCAGCTGCATATGCCCTGGCCTGTGCATCTAGAGCTCAGCATCAGAACCATCACTGGTCTGACGGACAGAGACAACCACTACCAAATAGAGATTTCTTTCAATAATGAAGTAAGCAATCATGACATCAAACTGTTTCATGAAGTGAGAAACTTCAGGTTTAGATTTTACAATCAAGATGCATCTTTGAATGATGACAGATCTAACTATTTTGCTGCCCAAGGAGACCAGGCCTTCACCTCTGGAAAGTATTACTGGGGGCTGGATGTGGATGACTCTTTGGCCTGAGCTCTAGGGATCTCTAGAGATTCCTGAATAAGCACTCATGGCACAGGTGAGCATGGATGAGGCAGGAACCCAACTGTAAGTATGGCAACTCCATGTGCTAGGGAGCCCTTCTCACCTAAAGCAAAACTTTCTGTAGAAAGTTTTTCTACTTTCATGGAATCTCATTTTATTGTCATAAAATAAAATAGTGTAAAATGAAAAAAAAAAAGACTACATGCAAAAATTGGAGCCTCACTTGAGCTTTATACAATTCAAAAATCCAACACTGAAGCTATCTAGGGGCAATCCCCTGCTCATCTCGGGCATCTATAGTATTTCTGCTGTACTTTACATCAATAGCAAAGAAAAAGATAAGAATGTTTATCCTTTACTTAAAATATTTACCTATTAAGACTTCAAAATGCTACTTTAAGCTTAAGGAAAAAAAGATAACTTGGCTTTCAAAACCCAAGTAGAACTATAGGATAGGTAAAGATGGACTTGTGACCTGATTGTGTACTTTACAAAACCGTAAGAGATAATTATTTTGGAAACTGCTATTTTCTTTATACCTTTTTACACTGATAGTCTAACTAGCAGTAGTAAAATTTGCTTTATTTTGGTTAATGTTTAAAATTTCATCTAAGAGTAAGACAATTGTAAATTAAATCTAAACAATATGCTATTCTTAAAGCAGACAAAAGGCATTTCTCTTCTTTATTAAGTTATTTTAGGACATACCAATTTGTATTCCTCATAAGAGGCATGGCATTAAAAAAAAAAAAAAAAGACAAGTTTTCTTTAAGCTTCCAAGATTCCTATCTGTCTCTGTAGAGGACTATGAGACTTGAATGTAAAAAGTAACACCTATATATATCACAGTTGAATTTTTCTCCAAATGGTACTTTTACAAGTTAAAATTATTAACTTAATCCAGCATTAGCAAATAACTGCTGGATAATGAGGAATTAGAACTTTAAAGTAAGTGTAAGTAATCTGGTAACTGAATCTTTTAAGTCAAATTTGGTGACACAAACTCAAGGTGAAAAATTTAAGATATAGAGGTATATGTACACTTTATGTATACCTACATAACAAATTTGTGGGGGGTTTTTTTCAGTCACCTTTGCAAAGATCAATCAAGAGGAAGAACAGCAATTCATAATTAAAAGTTAGGAACTGGGCACGCCTTTAAAATTTCAACAGTATATTTCCTTCAAATGATATTAGAACAAATGCTCTTTAAGACTGTTAGCTGAAGCATAGGTTAACAGTAAGGTCTGTTTCAAAAATAGCATTTATTATTGCCCAAAATACTTTGGAAAATGCAGATTATAAAAGATATTTATCTTAGACTACAGCAGATAACTTTGAAAAAATGTTGCTCAAATATTAAGAGGCAGTAAATTTTTCTTTACCTGCTAAATTACTGGACTTTTCAAATGTCAATTTTCCAACATCACTAAAATATTTAATAGTTTTAAAAATAATGCTATAGTAAGATGCATCTGTAAAACAACCAATTATCCAGATTTAGGTAAAAGTAAATGAGAAACTTGAAAGAGCAGAAGCCTTAAACATTAGTAATCCTTTTTTACATGAAAAGAACAGATATGAGCAGAATATTCACTAGGTAAAATGAACATATTACCTGGTTTCTAAGGCACACGGTTAGCTATAATATCTAAAGTGGGATTTATTTGATGAACTGCATTACGCTCTCAGAACATTTGCTGCAACTCAGGTAGACAGGCAAATTTTCACATATGTCAGTCTGTAGTCCAGAAAAGTATTTCAACTAAAATATGTCAATCCTCTTGTCTGAAATCCCTTAGGAGAGTCTAAGTAATGCCTAAGTCTTAGACATTACTGATGTCATATTTTTAAGTTTCTGTATAGAAGTTTTTTTAGGTTGACATACAGTTCTCAATGCTTTAGAGAATTAGGTAAACTCATTTCTTTTTTGTTCAGCAATGCTTCATTTCCACTACATAAAGCCTGATCTCCAGTTCCACTATCTAATGCCTGCCTGTTATGCTGTGCTTCGTTGGTACCACATAAAGCTATTACGTTATAAAAGGCTTCTAGATCACTTTGTTCAAATCTAACAGCTGGTTTCAGTAATGCTCCAGGAGTAGAATTCTCTCCAATAATTCTCAGATTGATAAATTTGATTTTCCAAGTATTTGCCAGCAAAGGGCAGCGGATGAGTCCAAAAACTTGTTCAAAAATGCCCAAACAAGTGTTCCCTCGGTGGACAGTCCCAGCAACTCCAACCATAACCAACCCATGGGGAGAAGAAGCACATTTCAGTCCTTGGGAATCTAAGTTGGGGGTGAGAAAAAGAAATTCCTCTTTTACTAATGACAGCAAACGAAGACTCACAATTTCTGCTCCATGGTAGTCAATCACGTTTTGTTCTGATGTGTTGTAATAAAACTTAAGCTTGACATCATGCCAGAAGTGCTGTGGCCCCCATTCATCTTGAGGTGGTCCCAAAAAAGGATTCTGAGAATTAAGAAGACCAAAGAACCAGTGACAGAATTCTTCTCCTAGGCGACGGTAATCAACTTTTTCAGTTTTATCTTCTTTTGCCTGCTGATTAAAATAAATACAATAAATATGAAATAAAACCAAGTTTAACTCTCATATCTACTTTTCTATCTAGCCTGTCTCAGAGCTAAGGTTGAATGTACTGCTAATTACAACAGCAGGAACTGAACCACAGATGAACTCACTGAAGCTATGATTTATATATATTAAAATCTGTTTTCAAAACTGAGAAAAATCATTTTAGAATTTTCCAGTTCAGAAAGCTAGAAATTTAGCTAGCAAAGGGTTAACAAAGTCTCTTAAAATATCAGCATCAACTGTCAATAATGATTTATATATGCATTTTCTGTTATTTAGACAGAGTCTTACTTTACCACCAAAGGGTGGCATGGGGTGATACTTTGCCACCCTATGGCATCATAGCTCACAGCAACCTCGAACTCTTGGGTTCAAGTGATTCTCTTGCCTCAGTCTCCCAAGTATCTGGGACTACAGGTGCCTGCCGTACCTGATGAGCTAGATCTCCTTTGTCTATATATTCCAGGGCATAGTGCCTCACTTAAATGATAAGAGAACCTATGTTTACTAAGCATCTGTTAGTAAATACACTGGGCACCAGGTGTGTGGCACTTAATGCCTATTTTCTCCTATTTGCATAAAAAATTCTATGACATAGATATTACTATTATAACCCTCTTTTTTTTTTTTTTTTTGAGGCAAAGTCTCACTATATGGTCCCTGGGTCGAGGGCTGTGGCATCACAGCTCACAGCAATCTCAAACTCATGAGCTTAAGCAATTCTCTTGCCTCAGCCTCCCAAGTAGATGGGACTACAGGTGCCCACCACAACACCCAGCTATTTTGTTGTTGCAGGTGTCACTGTTGCGTAGCTGGCCTGGGCTGGGTTTGAACCCAACAGCCTTGGTGCATGTGGCTGGTGCCATAACCAATGTGCTATGGGCACCAAGCCTGTTATAACCATTTTATAGATGAAGAAAGGCACAGAAAGGTCAAGAGACCTAAGTTTACACACCTAATATATGGTAGATCCTAATTTGATGTTGAATCTGTTATGAATTCAAAGTCAATGCTCTTTGTAGTATGTTAAGAAAACCCTTAGAAGATCCTTTCCTACTGTGAAAGCAAAGCTTTTTCACCACAAAACCTCATTAATTCAGAGTATGGTAAGTATGCAGTTTAATCAAACATTTAAATACTCATTTGTTGTCTAAAATGTAGAGTGGAGACACAAAGAAACAGAAATAGCAATGTCAGCTGGAGAAAATCACAACAGAATATTTTCTAATTTAAAATTACAAAAGAAAAAAAAGGAAAAAAATCCTTAAGTCCCTGTCATGAAATTTTTGAAATGATACTAAGAGTCTGAAAATGAGAAACGATTTACAATAGAATTTAAGTGAAAAACAAAAAACTGGAATCCAAATTAAAATTGACCTTGCAATTTACACTCTAAAAATCCAATAATCCTTATTTGATGATACTGGAAATCATCAGTAGCCGTATTATTGATACTGAAAAACACTTTTTTCCTTACAAATCTTCACTGAATGTCAGAAAGGTTTTTTCAGTTGCTTCACTGGTCTTTCTTCCCTTAGGATGCAAAGGGTATGAAGTTAAAATTATAAAATGCAAATAGATTATTAATCATGTTCACCCAGATCTAGAATTATTTATAGAGTTTTAGATCAGACAAAGGTTCAGGATATAGCAGTGGTGCACACCTGGCTAGCCACTCAGGAGGCTGAAGCAAGAGGATAGCTTGAATTCAGAAGTTCCAGGCTGCAGTAAGCTATCATCATATCACTGCACTCTAGCCTGGGTAACAAAGTGAGACCCGCATCTCTTGAAAAAGGGGAAAAAAAAAAAGTTCAGAATATAAAATGTACTTTAACCTGTTGATAGGGTTGGAGGTCTTCTGTCTTTGGTTCTGGCTTTGGCTCTGGTGTTGCCTTCAATTTCAGGTGTGACTGCGCTTGCCAGTAATCTTTTGCATGCTGAATAAGATTGTGTTTTTCAGTAGTTGGAGGTATAATGACCCCCTGTGTTGCCAAATACTTAAATATGACTTCCCGGTGGACTTTTTTACGCCTCAGAAGTTCTTCCGCACTTTGACTATACACTAATATTGCATGAATGGCACCTAGAAGTAAATTGCAAAGATTAATAGATAACCATGAGTCACCTATAAATTTGTCCAAGGTCAGGAGAAATCCATCAAAGTTTATAAACTCTTGTCACGCTGGCTTTGTACAAGATGGTAATCATTTTTAAAAAATAGGAAATGGGATGTTGTCAAGTTATTTCTTAAATAACATTTTTATGCTTTAAAGTTCTTCACCTAAAATTCCCTCTTCCTTTCACTTTTCAACAGTAACAGTGAAAGTCTAGCATTTTCTCTGAAAAAAATTGTTTTAAGAAAAAATTTGAGCCAGAAAAATATTTTCTAATAAAGCAAACAGACCTACATTCATAATCTCTAAAAACAAGTTACAATATTTTGGATGTCAAGGAATTTTAGTCCCATCTCCTCACTCTACTGATAATGAAAGTCTAGGATACATGAGATATCAATAACCATGTTTCTAGAAAGTGATACAACCAGGACTTGTATTTTTTTAATTTAAAAAAATTTCATATTTGGGCGGCGCCTGTTGCTCAGTGAGTAGGATGCCAGCCCCATATACCAAGGGTGGCGGGTTCAAACCTGGCCCAGGCCAAACTTCGGGTGACCAGATTTTAACAACGGTAAGGCGGGACAACATGGCCCCGGGGGGCAGGGCAGGGCCTGACAACAATGCAAATTTTGATAAGCAGTTCTCGATAATCACTTCTCAGCAATTATTTGTTATTATTACAGTTTAACATTATAAAATTAACAAAAATAATATAAAACTCATATTCTGGTGAAATAGCCACATGGCAGTGGAAAACCATATATTCCTTTCTTGTTCTCCTGCCTGTTTGTGCATTCTTTCCAAAAATCGGGATTTTTTCAAAACGCCACGGGACGCGGGACAAATTGTTGAAAAGTGGGATGTCTGGTCACCCTAGCCAAACTGCAACAAAAAAATAGCTGGGCGTTGTGGCAGGCGCCTGTAGTCCTAGCTACGTGGGAGGCTGAGGCAAGAGAACTGCCTGAAGCCCAGGAGTTGGAGGTTGCTGTGAGCTGTGATGCCACAGCACTCTACCAAGGGCAATAAAGTGAGACTCTGTCTCTTAAAAAAAAAAATTCATATTAAATGCGAAACAAAGAATATTTTTGATTTGTATAAAGTATACAGAATGGCAAAAAAATGAATGCACATATAGCAACCTCCTGGCTTAAGACAGAAAATTCTTCGCAAGTACTGTTAAGAGCCCACTTCAGACTCCAATGCTATTCCTCCTCTAGGTTTTTATTCAGTTCACAGGGTAATTAATATCCTCAATGTCGCTTAAGGATTCCCTTGCTTTTCTTTATAGTAGCATAGTATAAGTATGTATCCCTAAACAAAATACCTAGTTTGGTATAATTTTAGATGTTCTACGAATCCACTCCATTAATATACATTATATACTCTTTGTAATCAGCCTTTCATTTATTATTTTTGAGACTAATAGTGTCATAATTATAAGACTACATACAGGTATCTTCTCTATTCTCATGCTTTTATTGTGTGCACCTATGAGAAACATGAATACATATCTTCCAAGTGCACAAAGGAGCAAGCAACATAGACAACCATGAGCCAACTCTAAATTCCTCCAAGGTCAGGAGAAATCCTATCAAATAAAGTTTATAAACTTTAGTTTTAACATTAATTTAGAGATAGATCCAGGTGGAATGAATGAATTAATCTGCATTTTAACAAGATTGCCAAGAGATTAAAAAGCACATTCAAATTTGAGAAGTCCAGATCTAGGACATGAATCTAATCTTCCATTTCAGGAGATAATGTCAAAATTGTTTTCTAAAGTGGCAGCTCTCTACTTAACATTCCTTCTTTAGTTGTCAAAGAGTAGTTTCACCTGGTTCTCAGTCTGGTACATAGAAAGTTGGTATTTTTGGTTTTCATTTCATTGCCTTTTAAAGAAGTTGAATAGCTTTTTCATATGCTTATTGGTTATTCTCCCCCCACCCACCCCCGGGCAATGCTGTCCAAATCATTTAAACATTTTTTCACGGAGAAAAAATTTTCCCTTATTTGCTTGTAGATTCACTATCAATTAAACTCAGTATTTTATCTATGATTTCAGATTCACACTGATCATCATTCTAAAGTGACTGCCATGTAAAATACATAAATGCTTGAAAACTACACAAATATAAAACTATTTTCAGCCTAAGTTCTTAAGAATTTCTTCTTTTAATGTTCATGATTCAAAGTTACAAACGACCACTTTTCATCAAGGGCAAAAAATATAAATCCGACTATAAAGCAGAAACTTCTGAAGATACTTAAATCATATACTAATATGGGAACCTGACATTTCCACATTTTAAAGACAAAATGTGGAAATTTAAAAATAAAGCAAATTTAAAATAAAGCTAGCTACGCGATACACAAAATGAGATAAACGCCTTGAGCCCGTCGTACAGACTAGTCACAATCAGGCTTCCTACTAACAGCCCTTGAAATACACCAGAATGGACGTTTGACTATGAAAGTAATTTATTCCTAGTACACAAAACTATTTCAGAAAAATTTTGGATCTAAAAAGACATGGATTCAAACTCTGCTTTTTATTACAGTGGTTGTTTTTAAACCAGAGACTGCAATAAAGTGATTATGATCGCCTCCTCCCCTCAAGCTTGATCACCAGCTGACAGAAAGTGAAAATAGAAAACCCTCCGGCTTCCCAAAACTTAACCTGGCGACTACTGATTGACATACTCCGAATCCTCAAACCAACAAGCGTTTATCCGTAACATTCACCGGAAAAAACCTAGAAACTGCACCGCTGCCAGCGCTACCCGCTCCCTCTCCAACCTCCTGTCCAAGTCTGCGAGGTGGTTCCAGCGGCGTGGAGCGGGGTGGGCGGCCGGGATTCCCCAGGACTAGGTCGGAACCACGCCGGCACCAGGCCTCGAACCTTCTCCACCCCCACACGCCCGCAGGTGGGCCGCCCTCACCTTGGGAGTTCTCGGGGTGCACCAGGCGGTTGGTGACGGTGTCGCACAGGGCCATGATCTCGTCGTTGTCCAGTAGGCCGAGCAGGTAACGACAGCCCTCTATCTCTGTGGGGCTTAGTCCCGACATTTCAACCCCGGGAAGGGGGTAGAGGACGGCGCCAATTACGCCGCCCCTACGGCCCGCTCGGCCCGCTCCTTGGCAACAGACACCGGAAGTGCCTTTCTTCTCGTGGGTCGTCAAGGGGCCCCGCGGATTCCAGCCCCTGAGCGGAAGTGATCGCGGAAGAGGTCAGTCAGGAAACGCGGTGCTCCTGCTTGTGGTTCCGGGCTGTCCCCTGTAAGATGCGCTGTTTACACGGAGAACGTCGGCCTTGCACCGGGGAGCTGGTTACAGAAGAGGATTCCTGAACGGCTCCGAAGTCCCTCCTCCAAAAGAGCGCCTGGAAGGGCTGCGCAGGTGCAGGTGCGTGAAAAGCGGATGGAGGCCTGGCGACCCGCGCGCTCCCGTGATGCCACGGGGCGGTCCAATGGAGGCGGCTCCTCCCCGCCCGCGAGCCGGCCCAGGGAGCGCTTGAATATCCTCTGTGGCTCCTTCTGGGTCGGGTGAACCTATAGTCTGATATTGTTGAGTTACCTAGGTTAAAACAGCTGGGTATTGCTTGACATTGTACTATAAAAAGTTAAAAACCAAAACAAAGATAAACACCTGTCCCACACTTGTCCGCCTTCCGGCGACTTTCCTCTCACAACAGGCTGAGGTCTTATATTGCCTCCATTCCACTTGTCGTCAGTTTGGTCTTAGGCGAGGCGGTGGAGGGCCATTAAGTTTAGGGGGGGGGGGTTGGAAGCCAGATTGCCAGGGTTCTTGTTTTTGGTAGTTTTTGGCGGGGGCTGGATTTGAACCCATCACCTCCGGCATGTGGGGCCAGCTCCCTACTCATTTGAGCCACAGGCGGCGCCCCAGATTGCCAGGGTTTTACTTCTCCGTTTACTAACTGTGATTGTGAGCAGGCTCCTTAACCTTTTTGTCCTTTAGGTCCTAGGGTTGCAGGGACAGGGTGAAGAAACAGTTCCTGGCGCATAGTTCAGTGTGTTTAGATCATTAAATATGAAATGTCTGATTTTGAGTCAAGTTAATTTATAATAGCTCAAACAAGAAGCAATCCAATTAATCAAAGTTTGCGCCGAACAACTGACACAGTTTTTCTACCTTAAGAGTAGTTTATATATGCCAGCAATGAAGAAACCTGGAGAGCAAGTGCTGCAAAATTGGAAAAGGTGTAGGCATATTCCACAGCTGGAGAATTGAATATTTTTCTTGCAAGAAATGGCCCAAAGCTTAAGACATGGTAGTCAGTTGGTGCAAGGTCTGAATATAGAATGACAGGGAGTTCCCAAGTGCAACTTCTGTAGTTTGAGCAGCATTGTTTGTGTGACAGGGTTGTCTTGCAAGAGTATTAACCTGTTGATAATGACTGATCTCTGCTTCTTAATCTGAAGCATCCTCATTATTTCCCCATTACAGACACCAGCTGTAATCTTCTGACCAGGTTTCATGAATCTGCAGTGGCTAATACCAGGGCTGGACCACCAAACAGATACTGTTAGCTTTTTTTGATGAATATTTGGTTTTGGACGGTTTGGGCACTTCATCATCCATCCATTGTGGTGCATGCTTGTGATTGTCAGAAAGAATCCGTTTTTCATCACACATAACAACATGGTATAGAAATGGTTTGCACTTACATCTTGACACCAAAGAAAGGCAAGTTCCAGACAGTTCTCTTTTGTAGCTCACTTAATTCACACAGAACCCATCTATCACGCTTCGTTACCTTGCTGATTTGTTTCAGATGGTCTAGTGTTAAGTGGTATAGTAACATCAAACTTTGCTAATAATGCACATGTAGTCTGAGATAGATTTGCTTGCTTCCACTACGGCTTTCAGCTCATCATTATCCACCTTAGTCTCAGGTTTCCCATGTGCATCATTTTCAATTTAAAATCACCAGAACAGAACTTCTCAAAATATAGACGTACTGAGCATTTATTCACCACGTTTGTCCCAAACACTTTGTTGATATTTCAAGGTGTGATGCATTGTTTTCACGACAGAACTCATTCAAAAATATGAACTTTGACTTACCCTTAGTTTCACAAGAATTGCTCTAAAATTTTTTGAAAGATAATCACAAGCCAAAGATACCAAAGTGAAATGTCAGAGATACCAACTGTCAAACCAGTACTTAAGAAAACTGGACATGTCTTACTTAATAATCTAATCTATTAGTGTTATTACTATTCCCATGACAGCAGCTCACATTTATAAGACAGAAATAGTCATGCTCTGCTGAATTGAGGAATTGGACTTAAACACATTTTCACTTGCTTTTATCTCCTATTTTTAATTAATATTTTAAGATTAGTTAATGTTTAATTAAGGTATTGCCATTTTGTATTGCTAGCTGAAATGTACGTACCTGCAGATCCTCCCTGTGAGCAAATTTAACATTTTTTTAAATCGCATAGTTAAATATCCATCATAAAATATACAGTTAACATAGTTTTAAAGCAAGGGCATTCAAATCATGGTTAAATTAATTTGCCAGTGGATCTTATTTGGGGTACCATGTGCTGTACAGATACTATTAAAATACAATAATACCAATTAAGATATCTGTCTTCATTTTTGTTAAGTATTAATGAGTTCTGGACCTTCCTTCAAGGAGCTTTTCCGAATGTTGCCAGTAAAGAGATGAGAAGATAAGTGCTCATAGATGCTGTAGTAGGACTACATGGAAGGGTAAGCCTGACCTTGTCTTTCATTCATTTATTACTTCATTTGTGAAAATTTATTTATTGAGCACCTAAACTACTTGTCAGCTACTATTCTTTGTACTAGGGACAAATGCAAGTCCTTTGGGGCTTGCATTCTGGTGAGAGGAATCAGACAGAAAACATAAAAGAAACTATGTACTTATTAGGATCTGCTACGGAGAAAAATAAATTAAGAAGAGGGGGACAGAGTGGATGTTACAGTTTATATAGTTAGAAGGAAAGGCTTCTTTAAATAAGTGACTTTGAAGAAAAGTTCAAAAGAAAGTGAGCAAACCAAATGACAATTGTGTTGTAGAAAGAAGTAACCGTAAAGGTTTTGAAGAAGGAGGCCAGGATACCAGAGCAGCTTGAGGAGTCAATGAGCAATGTGGTTAGAGTTGCCATCAGTACTGATCCAAAGCTTCATTTCTCAGTCATGTACTATGGACATTTTAGGCAGGATAATTTTTTGTTGTGGGGGTTGTGTGCATTGTAGGGTTTTTTGTTTGTTTGTTTGTTTTTGGAGACAGTCTCAAGCTGTCACCCTGGGTAGAGTGCTGTGGTGTCACAGCTCACAGGAACCTCTAAATCTTGGGTTCAAGCCATCCTCTTGCCTCAGTTTTATTTTTAGTAGAGGTGGGGGTTTCACTTTTTGCTCAGGCTGGTCTCGAACCTGTGAGCTCAAGCAATCCACCTGCCCTGGTCTCCCAGAGTGCAAGGATTACAGGTGTGGGCCACCACACTAGCTCAATATAGGTTACTTGTTGCCCTACCCTCTACATACTGGGTGCCAGGAGCACCTCTTTCCCTCAGTTGTGGCAACCAAAAATATCCCCCCGTCATTGTCACATGTCCTCTAGAGGGTAAAATCACTCCTACTTGAGAACCATTAATATAGAACCACTTCTGTCAAAGTACCTTCTGAGATCATGAAAATGTTCTTTATCTGTGCTGTCCAGTACAGTTAACCATCAGCTACAGGTGGCTACTGAGTTTCTTGTAACGTGGTTAGAGGAACTGAATTTCAAATTTTACTTGAATTTCAATTAAATTTTAATAGCCAACAAGTGGCTAGTGACTACTGTATAAGATAGTATAGATTTAGAACCTGGTTAGCTGTCACATAGACTTTGGATTTTATCTTTTACTTCTGCCTTCATTTCCTTGCCATCTGTTCCTTCAAGGTGCATGCAAGTCCTTGCCTCAGAGCCTTTGCTCTTGTTACTGTGCTTGGTATATTCTTCCCTCAGTATCTGACTGGCTGTTTCCCATACTTTATTCAGATCTTCCTCAAAAGTCATCCCGTCAGGCTTTCTCTTATCACCATTACCATGTTTACTTATATATTTCCTACCCACTGTATTTTTCTCTATAGCATTTATAATATAGTAGATATTTGTTTCTCTTAGCTAAGAGAATGTGAGCTCTATAAGACAAGAATTTTTGTTTTTGTTTTATTACCAGCTATAGAGCCTGGTATACAGTAGGTATACAATGAATGTTTGCTGAATAAATGAATAGGCTGTGAAGCCATGGGCAGGTTTTAAACAGGATCACCTTGGCTGTTGGTATGAAGTCAGATTCAAGGAGTGTAAGGTATAGGCCGGAAGCCCAATTAAGAGACTATTACAATAGTCCAGGTTTGAGAAGATGATGGCTTGAATTAAGGTGGGAGACTTGATAAAGAGTCAGGGATGACTGCAAAGTTTTGATTTGGACAACTAGAGTTGCCATTTATTAGAGAAGGAACTCTGGGAGAAATAAGTTTCAGTGGGAAAATAGGAGTTATCAAGAGATCAGACTTTCTGGAATAAGTAATGATGCTTAAGAAGGATTAAATCAAAAAATGAGAGACACTGTGGAAAGAGAGTGAAGAATTATGAGTAAAGAGAGCAACAGTAAAAAATGCATGGAATAAAACAGCATAATGAAGGTAGGTAGGGTTTTAAATATGGCTGGAGCCAAAGATAAAACAGGAGCTATAACATGTAAAGAAATTTAGCAAAACTATAACAGGAAGAGCTCAGCACAGGCCCTTCACAGACAATTCTTACGACCTTGCAATAACAAGTGACTCCTTCTCACAGATTAGGAAGTTGAGCTCAGTAGGATAAACAGTACCTAGCTGCTTAGCTCTCCACAACTATAAAACTGCCATGTTGGAATTCAAGTACAACTGATCTCCACACCTCTTTGTTCCATTTCCATTAAATCATTTTCTGGTAGAGTTTCACTTAAGCTAAATACTTTTGGAAACCCCCCCCCAAAAAAAATCTCTACATTTAGAGCAGTTTGGGATATCATTCACCCAATAGTAGTTACTTAAGCACTATTAACAAGAGGCTTCTTTAAATGTCCTGCAAACAGTTTCTAAGAAGGCTCTATGAATTTAAGGGGAAATAGTCTACCTTCTTGGGAAATATGAAGAACCTTGTC